GGCGGCGGCGGCGAGGAGAACGGCCAGGAGGAGGAGGATGGAGATGAACCAGCAGAGGCAGCAGCAGAAGCGGCACCGGCGAGTTTCCCGGCGAGTGTAGTGCGCGTAGTTTCGGTAATTTTCCGGCGGAGAGAGGCGGTGGACCTGGTCCTTTGGGATCTGGATGACGTAGGTTCCTTGCCGCGGCGAGGGATTCGCCGCGGCGTGAGACGACGTCGTTTGTGGGAGTTGCGGCGAGTTTCCCGGGTGAACTCGGTCTGCCATTGGTGAGTCACTGAGTAACGAGTTGTTAGCGAGTGGAATTTGAAACGAAGTAAGGAACTTACGAAACACGGTGGTGAGAGTGTGTTAAGTAGTGAAAGGGAAAAGCGTGTGCGCGTAATCGAAAAGAAGAGAACTTAACGCGGCGTCGTCATAAGGGCATTTGTGGAATTTCAGGTACGTGCTTTTGATTGAATAGCGTTTTGTTTGGGTTTGGTTTCTTGAACCTGATCACTATTTTGTTTGGCTTTGGTTTCATACTTCTTTTTTATATTTGGGTACCTTTTTCCAAATTTAAATTCATATTCATTAAAAATAAAATAAAAGTCAATGGAACTTCGACTTAATTACGTTTTCTTCTTTCTTTTTTTAAGAAGATCCAGATCTTTAAAATTAAGTTGCTTACTTGAATTTTATCTGTTAATTAATGAGAATCTACAAAAGTAAAATAGAAAAATGAATGTATTTAATGTTATTGATAAAATATTTTATATTTTATTCCAGATTATAGCTGTCTTTTTTACTTGAAATAATCTTGTTTAAAATGGAATTTTTTTTATTTATTTATGGAGACTAAATTTGATATCAATGATTTACAATACACACCAACTAATGTACACCTTATTGGTCTTGTTCAAGTTGATTATTAATATAACAAAAAATTTAATTTATGCAAATGCATATTATAATTCATTTTTTATATGACTAAAATTTATAATAAATATAATAATAACTATAATTTAAAATAAATAAATATTTATATATATATATATATTATATTATGATTTAAATTAAAATTTATAACATATAAATTATTTTGTATTATATATTATATAGTTTACATTGTGTATCTGTATTGTTTTCAATTATTCATCATTTATTTTTAAATATTAAAAATTAAATTTAAAAATATACATCTAAGAAATCATTGATGATAAAATAATTCTAAAAACAATATGTTAAAAAAATAGTTAAAATTTCAATCATATAATAATAATTCTTAAAAATACTCTTAGTTATTTTAATTTATTTATTCTAATTTATATAAATATAATATTTTTTATATAATACGAAATATTAAATTATTTAATTAGGAATTAAAATAATGGTTATAAAATATATTTAAAAATCAATTAAAATGTATAATAATGCAGTGAAATATATAGAAATATATAATAATAATAATAATAATAATAATGATAGAAATTTATCTATTAATTTCCATTTTAATTGTTGTATTAAATAAATTGATCCTTTGTTTGAAATTTATTTATTAAAAAAATACTTAATTTTACTTGCTACCTTTTTATAAAACAAACTATAAAGAAATCAAATTAAAAGACTTATTACTTTAATTTTTACATTATTTAAAATTTCATTAAATTAATAATAAGATACAAATGGGTACATTTTCTTGGTGTCCACTTTTTGAAAAATGATTATATACATATCTTATATTTTATCTTTTTTTCACTAACATGTTTCTTAAAGAAGAAAGTTAAATTGTACTTTTAGTCGGTCTATTTTTTTTGGAAATCCACAATTTTGCTCTCTATATTAAAATAAAGATATTCAACCCTTATTCATTAATAAAAAATTAGATTCAAACATAAAAAATTAAAACATGACATTAAGTGATGAAAAACACAACTTCATTAAAATAAGTGATGAAAAATTAGTAACATGACATTTGAAAATTAAAACATAAAAAAATATATAAATAGGATTCATTAATAAAATAAATATCAATTGTTCATTAAAATAAATATAAAACGAGAATACTTTCTGTTATTTTTAAATTTTTATTCTTATATGTCACGTCATTAAATATTATGTTATTTAAGTGATGTCAAGTTAGTGAAAAATATCAAAATTTAATGATTAATAAATATCAAATTGATAGTAAAATCAAAATTGTGTATTTTTAAAAGTAGAAAGATCATATGTCTATTTTAGAACAAAGGGACCAAAATCGTGAATTAATAAAAATGAAGGGTTAAAAAGATGGTTTAGAACATTAATACTAATTACTCACTTTTTCTTTTTTCATGCTAATTTTTTTATTACACTTTTTACTATTATTGTTAATAATTAATTTCATCTGCTTTTTATTTATTGTATTTTTATTTTATGTATTTAATGCAATTAAGTTGATTTTTGTGTATTATAAATAATTAAATTAAAATAAAAATTGTGGATGTTATATTATTGATAATATATTTAATTCATTAGATAAATTAATTCACATGATTTATGCTGGAGGGATAGAGGAGCTTTGTGTTTGTAACAACCTGATAGTCATTACACTTAACAATATAAGAGTGCAAAACATAAAATCAACTACCTTAGGATTCTCAAGCAAACAAATCCTAAATATTCATGCAACAATGTGTGTGTATCTATCTGAGAAAATATAAAACAAAACTTTCCCATATGTGAAAATCATAAAGTCCCTTGTGGGGTTACAATTATCCTAAATACATGTATACAATGTGTGGAGATATACAATTATGCAGGACTAAAAACAAAAGTCATAGGTGTCAATCAAACACTTTACACAACTAGCTTCAAAAGAATACCTTTAACCAAAAGCCATCTCCACATAGTTAATAAACTCTAGGCTTATCCTCCATTTAATCCTAACATGCTTTCGTATCAAGTATAATCATAACAATCCAACATAAGGAAAAGTAAGGATAAGCTTGTGTAAGATAGAACAACATATATAAAATTAAAATAAGTTATCTATATCGACATGAAAAACTTCTAACACATAGCAACTTCCACATAGCACCACAGTAATAACTTCAATAAAAGTTTCATAGAGATACAACGCATCAAATCAAATATACAACTCAACAACTTCATATTAAGATAAGCAACTCAATAAACAAGCCAACAACACAATTGTATAACATCAACATGGATACACATCTCAACATCATAGTTAACAATACATCACTATTATGCGCCTTTACACATTTCAATTTATTAGGAGATATTTCAACACAAAAAAACAACTCACTCTCATTTAGTTCTAAGTTCAACTAAACACAAAAAACATGCATCATGCATAATCAACTTAGATGATATCTCTTTTATACAACACAACACACCTCAATTCAACAAAATACACATACCTCATTTATCATCTTATAAAATAAAAAAGATCAACACCAAACATCATATTACAAGATTCAAACATCTCATCAAAACATCAAAAATATCTTCATAAAATAACACAAAGAGACGTGATGCAAAAATAGGGCCTTGTCATGTGCCCACACTTGATATGAGCCTCTAGTTGGGTAGTGCATTCTCGCTTAACAAGAAAAGCTTGTTGTGGTTTCCCCCACCAAGTGAGCTTAACTGTAACAGCCCAAATTTTTACTGGGCCGTGGGCCCAATTCGTTGCCTGGAACGGGCCGTTTCGAAAGTGAAACTGTTCGTTCCGGAATAAAGAATTTGCCTAAAAAACGTAGTTGAGAACGGGCCGTTCCGGTTGGAGAACGGGCCGTTCTAGTTTGGAGAATGGACCGTTCTGAATGTAGAACGGGTCGTTCTGCTGGGTTTTGGAACGGGCCGTTCCGGTTTTGGAACGGGCCGTTCCAGTTGAGGTTTTTGCTTGGTTCTGGAGGGTCCAGAACGACCGTTCCACTTTTGGAACGGGCCGTTCCGGATTAGCTGAGGCAGATTCCTATAAATAGGAGGCCTTACCTCTCTCATTTTCTCACATCTCTCATTCTCTCTTCCTATCCTCTTCTGTTCTTTTTTCTTCCCCTCTTCTTCTCTCTGAAGACCATGGAGCACTTAGAGGAGGAGACCAAGAGATCCCTGTTGTAGTTTCAACGGCTGTTTATCCAGGTACGGGAGAAAAGGGGATTATTTATATGTGGAGTTACATGAGGGAATTGGGTAGAATAAGAGCCCTTAGAATTATGAGTAATTTTATAATTATTTCTGTTTGAAAAATTATTGGCATTATTTGATTCTGTATGAATTTAGGATTATGAATATATGATTTATTTGTAAAAATGATGCTCTGGGAGAGAGAACGAAATTATAGAAAAGTGGATTTATTTGTAAAAAATGATGCTATGGGAGAGAGAACGAAATTATAGAAAAGTGTCTGTAGGCTAGGCTCACCAAATTTACTTGTTTTATCCTTAGATATCCTTTGGTGAAAGTGATAGAGTTGTACATCAATAAGGTAGTGAGGTTGGATAAGAATTAGAAAGTAAGAAGCGAGGAGACTACCATTGCAAAAATTTCAGGGACGAAATTTCTTAAAGGAGGGGAGTATTGTAACAACCCAAATTTTTACTGGGCCGTGGGCCCAATTCGTTGCCTGGAACGGGCCGTTTCGAAAGTGAAACGGGCCGTTGAAATGGCCCGTTCCGAAATAAAGAATTTGCCTAAAATACGTAATTGAGAACGGGCCATTCCGGTTGGAGAACGGGCCATTCTAGTTTGGAGAACGGAACGTTCTGAATGTAGAACGGGCCGTTCTGCTGGATTTTGGAACGGGTCGTTCCAGTTGAGGTTTTTGCTTGGTTCTGGAGGGTCCAGAACGACCGTTCCACTTTTGGAACGAGCCTTTCCGGATTAGCTGAGGCAGATTCCTATAAATAGGAGGCCTTACCTCTCATTTTCTCACATCTCTCATTCTCTCTTCCTATCCTCTTCTGTTCTTTTTTCTTCCCCTCTTCTTCTCTCTGAAGACCATGGAGCACTTAGAGGAGGAGACCAAGAGATCCCTGTTGTAGTTTCAACGGTTGTTTATCCAGGTACGGGGGAAAAGGAGATTATTTATATCTGGAGTTACATGAGGGAATTGGGTTTATTAAATAATGAATTATGATGAGATTATATTGTGATGTGTTTGTATGTACTTTGCATATAGATATTTTCTTTTCTCACCGTATAAACTGTGGACATTTTAGGTGAAGAAGATCCGGCTACGAGTGGCATCTAGAATGTCAACAGTTAAATTATGGGAATGCTCTGATAATGTGACATCGGGGCAGAGGATTTCTAGGATAGAATATTTATATTGATTTGGTATTG